GGCTAGAATTATTTCACGGGGAAGAAGGATAGGTGAAGTCTCAGAGGACACCTTCTTCATCATCATCATCATTATTATCAACAGATCTGCTCTTCCCTAAATGACCACATCTGCTGGTGCAACCCTTTTTGTGTTTCCAAGAAAAGGAATAAATGTGGGGTTTTTTTCATCTGCATTGATGGCATCATTATTTTTATTATTCTTTGTTACTCAGAAATAAGATGGAATGAAGAGAAATAAAATAGCAGAATCCAGATGAAACCATAGGGAGCTGGGATTGGAGGAAAACTGAGAAGTTGTAAGGAATGACCTTCCACAGTCACAGCTCTCAGACTTGTGCAGTCATGTGAATGCCTTCCTGTTACACAACAGAAATTAAGCAGTTCAGACAAATATATATCAGTGGAGCTACGCCAGGGTTTAATTAGGTCTCATGATCCAGATCTTTGGAATTACCTGCCTCTTTCAGTGTGATGAATCCACCTTTTTTGGGCATGACCTTCCAATCTGTGTTGAGTAAACCAAGGCTGCTCAGTCTGGGGGTTTTGGCTTCTTGGTGTGCAGCCACATGTTCAGAGGCTTTGTAAAAGGCGCAGAGACTTATTTAAAGTATTTGAAATTTTATTTATTTTGTTGTTCAGAGTCATAAGTAGTTGTTTTGTTCCATCTTGGAGAAAGCAAGGAGGTTGCTAGTGGTTAATCAGTGTAGTTCCTTTAATACCTCTTTATTTTGTGATGGGTGCAAATAGGGAAGGTCTGTTACAGGAACCAGCTGGTGTCTTAGAAAGACTTGGTAAATTACAAATTGAAGTGTTTACGAAAGGAAATTCAGTATTTTTTTATGGTACTGGCTGCAGTATGCCTTGCACTTCAAAGCTATCAATGACCAGAAATTAAACAGGTGGTAAATATGACTGGAAATAGTAATCATCCATCATCTGTCTTTCCAGAAAAAAAACCCAAAAACAACCTACAACTACGTTTAAATTCCTTACTTCCCATAGTTCTCTAAGTTAATGAACTGGATATTTATCCCCTGCCCCCAGAAAAGGAGAAAGAGAAAAGAAAAAAAAACCAACCAGCAATTGTTTAAGTTTTGACATTCTGTGTTTTTCCTTCTGACTGTGCTGCTCTCACCAGCATTTCAAACATGGTTGTGGTTTCCTGCATTGTCCTTCACATTCCACATTCACCGTTCAAGTTGTTTCATTAACCCAATCCCAGCGTATGTAAAATATCCTGAGATGCTGATCTCAGAAATCTAGAGATTTCTGCTCTAGTTGAGCTGATTGTGTCTGTACCATCCATGGCAGAATATCTTTGTCTGGAGATGCCATGCTTTGGTTGCTTGTATGAATATATGAAAACATTGTGTTCCTAAATGATACGAGTAGATTTAGGGCTGACATGGAGGAGGGAGAGGGATGAGGGAATTGGGTGTCTAACACTTTTATTTGTAGGGTCCAGCTCCTCCCCTCCATCATCCAGTAGGTTACATCATTTCCCATCAGTGAGACTTCTTAAACACAGAACTTTCCCCTGAGTGGACAAATTTAGTAACGTGGTAAAGTTTGGATTGAAATAAGGAAGTTTTAGTGTAAGCAAAATACCTGAAATTGAATGTCTTGGTGAAGGAAAGAGCCAGGTGAGGATTTTTGTAAAGTCAAGTTATTTCTTTGTACCATTTTTTGGTTTCAAGTGAAATTCTTTGTAAGCTTCCCTCATCAGCCACTTCTTGGGATGGCCTCAAAAAATGAGTATTGCAGGTTTATCTCTGGATTTTTATACTTCAGATACTATACTAGTGGAATAGCTAAATGATTTTACTTTACATTTTATTTACTTTGGGATTTCTTTATTTTAAAACCCATCCTAAACCATAGCTAGTTTTATTAGTTACTATAATAATCTATTTTTGCATTGCCAAGAGTAACTTGGGTAGAGAAGGAGTGACCATAATAACTTTCAGTCAAGTACATAGATTTAATTAATAATTGTAAATTATTATAAATTCATTAGTATAAATTCATTATTTTAGCTGCAAAAGCAAATACAGATTTCCATTTTTAAGGAGGTTAGCTACTGTACAAGGAGTTTATACCATCTAAATTTTCCGATTTCATCTTTTTATGAACAGCAGGGAAAGCAATTTGCAAATATTTAAAATGTCAAACTAATGGAAGTATAAATGATGAACAACTTGTAAGGCATGCAAAAGGAGGCCATGGTTTGCTATGGGACTGTGGAAAAAGAATGAATAATTCATCAGGATAGAATAAATAAGAATATTTCCATGCAGCAGTTGCAGGTTTGTTTATTGATCTACCTGGTAGAAGTTCTTAAAAGATTCATTATTTAGCACAAGCTAGAAAATGTAATATACCCAAAACACTGAAAATACTTTATTTCTGGCTGTGGGACTTCATTGCCCATCAGGGAAGAAAATCCCAAACAAACATGAAAACAGAAAAAAGAAGCCAGTGCATTGCATAATGAAGGGTAGGAATGGGGGTTTCTGTGACACCTGAGAGTGTAACTGCAGAGTTCTGGGGGTTGTGGCTCTGCAGCTCTGCCCTGCTGCTGCGGCCACGCAGCTCTGAGCCCTCCCTCCCTCCCTGCTCTCACAGGGGCAGGGCAGGGGCTTTGCACTGAAACTCCACTGAATCCACCGAAAACCCACTGAAAATCAAACCCTCCCTGCCAGTTCCTGGTGATTCACCAGCAGCGGGGCTGGGCTCCTCTGGTGTCACTGCCAGGGAAGGTGCAGAAACAGGGGAAAACCCCACCTCTCTGAGACAATCGTGAAAATGTTATTTTTAGGTATATTTCTTGCAAAGCCTTTTTAGCCAGCAAATGGCTAACAGTTATAACTTCAATCCTTTTCTCCCTTTGTTCTGGAATAGTCATTATTTCTCCCTTCCCCTCTATTTTTTAACTAAATTTGCTGGGGGTTTTTAAAGAATAATTTTCGAAGTGGGAAAGAGCGTGAACTGTCAGCAGCAGGTGCTGCGTCCCTGCGGGAGCTCTCCATCCCAAGGGGCTGTTCCCTCCCCTGGCACCCCAGGGACCCGGCAGGGGACACATCCCATGGCCATGGCACCTGGCATGCCCAGTCAGGGCACTGGGGGTGACGGTGCTGCACTGAAGCCCAGCAGTGCCCCTTTAATGGGCTGCTCCTCCTTGGTTGCAGCTTGGGCTCTTTGGGCCATTTGGAGATGCTCAGCTTTTAACATCATTGATTTTCTCCATCGGCGGTGCTGCTGTTGTCATCCCTCATCCAGAAAACCTGTACCTGTATTATGCATCCAGCACGCTCCACTCAGACTGTGCCTCGCAATGGGTTTATTGCACATTGATGCTTAAAGAGATCATATTTCCTTAAAAAAAACCCCAAACAGCAGCAAACCAACAGCTTTTTTTCCTGTTTTCCTTTGAAAATGGAAATGATACAAAAATAACTATTTGACATGAATGGCAGTGGCTGGCAGAGCACCACGTTTTTTGGCCACAGCTTCTCTGGCTGCTTTGTGGTGGCCTCTCCCTGCATGATTTGTGGTTATAATTCCAAAGGATTTGCTGCATCCAGCTCACCTGGCTGGCTTTCCCTGTCAGCTGCAGTTCTACAGTGTTTTAGCACTGATCCTTGCATAGACAATACCCTTTATTAGATGATTTCTTCATTAATAAAAGCCTTGCACTCATTTTGAAATCCAGCATCTTTTGCAGACTTTATATTTCAGTGATACATTCCAGACTTTTCCAAAGAACATTCAGCTTGGATGCTAAATATGTTACTGCTAGTTGTTCAGAACTTTAATTCTAAAACACAGCTTAAGCCATGAAAAAATATGTGGTGATTAACTGAATGTTTCCTTTCTGCTTGGTTGATAAAGGTCATCCCTCCTTTTGTGCCAGTCTTCAGATCTTTCCAGCAGCATTCTTTCCTTTCCTAGGTATTGTGCCAAACACCTGGAACTGCAATTTCCAGATCTGCATCTTTAGGGTATCGAGTGTGCGTGCACAATAAATGGAGTGATAATTTAATATCTGTGTGTTTTGCAGGGCAGGCTTTGGCAGGTCATCAGTAACCTGCCAGTGGCTCTGGGAGCATTCTGTGTGCTCCAGTACTTTCACTCAAGATTTTGAGCATTTGTAGGTGATTCAGCCTCATGCCATACAGAAACACATTGTAGGAAGGAAGAATGCTAGAAATTAAAAGTAATTGAGGTTCCAGCACATGACAACAGAAACAGTTTGGCTTCTCTTTTCTGTGACAATCTCCTGCATGAAAATTGCCAGGAGCAATATTCTTTACTCGCTTATTCCAGCTGAAGGATTTGCAAAGGTAACTAATTTCATCCTCTGATTCACTCCTTAAAAATCCCTTTTTTCTTTTCCGTTCCAAAAACGTAACCTGAATTCTTCTAATTTGTCATGGTGGTTATTTTTGGGGTTGGTAAAATCTTGAGCATTACCAGCAGAATCATGAGCATCCCTTCTTGTACTGTTTATAACAGAGCCCTGTTTTGAAGCTTGTTGTTGTTCTTAAAAAATATTACAGGCTGCTGAAATTATCTTTAAAGTGCTTAGAAATTGCTGATAAAATGCATAAATTACTTTTTCTATGCTCTGTATATATCCTTGTGCATGTGTGAGACTGTTCATATGCAGAGACAAGAAGTATGCAACTTACATTCACATTGGTGCATGTAGAGACACTCAGATACAACATTTTTTAAAATTCAGTCAAGCTTTGCCTAATCGGCCTGTGCAATATCTGGCATCCTTCCCCTCAAAATACATTTGTTATTTCAACAGATCATGGTACTCGTATAGACAAAAGGCTAAACAATTTTAATTTACCTTTAGATGAAACAATGGCATAATGACATATCCAGATAATTATTTTCTGCACTTTGGTCAGGTTTGGGGTTTTTTTGGGGGGAGTTTAATGCCTACCATGCAATGACAAAGGTTTATTCTCCCTTTGTTCTTTTCAGAGTGCTGCAGCAGCTCCCAGCCCAGTGCTAGGAAACATTCCCCCAGGAGATGGCATGCCAGTAGGTCCAGTACCACCGGGGTTTTTTCAGGTATTCAGAAAAAAAATTATGATTACAGGAATTTTAGGATAGACAATCCTCTGTAATACTGTTTGCAAGTCTGTAGAAAAGGTCCTGTTCTGAACTATGTCTCACTGTGTGGTGCAATATTTGAAAGTTTATTTTTAAACAGAAGTGGACAGGTGGGAAGGAAGGGACCTGACTGATGAGTATTTAATTTATGAAGTAGTACAGCACACAGAACAAGAAACGGTGCCAGGTTTTTAGCAGAGATCAAAAAATGCTTGAGTACAATATTTAAATAATTTCTTATGATAATATACGTACCATTCCATGGAGATTCTAAAGTCAGAATGTTGTTGGTTGTGTTCAGCTCTGTGCTAAAGCCACAGACCAGATTCCTGAGCTTCTGTGTGAATCCAGCCTGGGCAATGCAGAACATCCCACTGAGCATTGCCCTGCACCTTGCAGACCTCAACACCACTGCCTAGAAAAGCTAACTCAGGGATTTAGACCATGTGCTGCTTCTGTTCAGGTCTGTCCTACGTGGAGCTGAGCACCCATTCAGCACTTTGGGCAGTAACAGCATCTGATGGTGGAAGAAATGACATTTCAGTGCACGCCCAGTGTGGTGTTTGTGACCTGAGGCTGCACTGCTCCCAGGCTGGGCTCACATCTCCTCCTCACCAAAACTCAGTGGTTTCCCTCCACACTGGCAAACTGAGGCTTGATTTGTAACACATGAATGAAAATACACTTGGAAGTGAAGTGGAAAATATCTGGCTGCTGCCAGTCACAAAATTCTCGGGAGCTGGCAGAACTCATTAATTAATTTATTTCTGCTTTTAGTGCTTTGAGCAGCTGGTTAGGTAGGCTCTTTTGTACATAATTTTGGTCTTAATTTTTAGATTATATCAATATTTCACTTTTTAAAAAAAAATTTTTTTACTTCAGCTTCCCACCTCAGTTGTGATGTCAGAGGAATGAACTTTTTTTGTTATTGTCTGTGACGACTACTAAGATGGGGAAGGGGCACAGATAGGACAAGTGTGTGAAGTACAGAGGAGAGAGTAACTATTTTAAAGGTTTTGCAGAAGGAGGATGTGGGAGTTTTGTTTTTAGAAGTGTGAATAGACTTCTAGCCACTCCAGATCTTTGAAGTTGTAAGAAAGACAATCTGATAGAAAGCTGAGTGCGGGTAAAGTCTCATTGTATGCCAGTATCTGTCTTGAGTCTAACTTGAAGCCACAACATCATCCTGCTCTTTTTACGAGGCCTGAGAGTGAAGAGGAACATTTTCCAAGACATTATTAATTCTTGCTGTAGCTGTGTGCTTAAGAATGCTTAAGTTTGGAAATCAGGTATGGTAGTGGGTGCATTGATGTGTGCGGGAGCAGTCCCAGCAAGGGGAGCTAAGCCAAAATGCAGAGGGTCCCAGGCAGTGTGAGGCTGTGGGTGCAGACAGCCCTTCGGCTGCTGTGGGTGTTGTCAGGCAGCGCTCGGTGCCAGGCTCTCAAACCTTCCTCAGAGCTCGGCCCCACCAAGGTCAGCTCGCCCCGGGACAAGGAAACGTGCTGGCAGACAGAGCCTGCAGTGTGAGACTCGGAAACTGAGGGGCATCATCTGCCGCTGTGCAAGGCAGCTGAAATCACAGGCAGGAAAGGGGAGCTCACGGTGAAAACCTCCTCCTTCCTTCATGGGTGCTGCTCTTCTGCTAGACCTTTACCTGCACAGGCTCCTTCTCCATCCTCTCCTGCAATTCCTGTGATCCCAGGGTACAACCAAGCACAGAGAACAGGCTCATCTGTCTGGGTCTGAGAGCTGGCAGCCCTCGCTCTATGGAGCTGAGACCTGCCCCTCACTCCCTGATTATGGCAGCAGACAATTTGTTCTTCAGAGTCAGTCCGCATGGGCAGAGCAGGAGAGAGGTGCTTGTGTCTGTATTTAGCGCCCTGAGACTCTGCTCCACAAAGGCCTCGTAACATTTTAATTCCTTTAGCCCGAAATGTGTCTGGAAGGTCACCCTGGAATGATCAGGGTGCCCGTTGCTGCTTTCGGGAGTTGTTTGGGTTGGGCTGAGCCGAAGCTGCTGACAGCCTGCACCTGCCAGCTCTGCTTGCAGAACTCAGGGGTCACAGATGGTTTAAAGTAATTTCTTCCCTCTTGCACTCGTGTTTTGGGTGGGCGCTGAGTGCTCACAGGGATGTAAGCAAGGTGGGATCATTGCTGCTGCAGTTTGTTCCTGTCAGAGCAGGGGAATGTCACAGTCCAGGAGGGAAATGTGCTGGGAATGAAGAAACAACAACAGGAGTCGATTTTGGTTGGCAAAATTGGTTTGCTGACCTCTAACATGATTTTTGAGACATTTATTTTTTATAGAAGAAAAGGAGTATATTTTATTTTAAGAAAATAATGCAGTCTGCTAGTGTAGCATGTGGAGGTAGAAAAATACAGGAGAATTGTTTCTCAGACAGTATGTGGTAAAAGTCTGCTCTTTGTAAAGTGAGGTTTTCTCATGCAGGCAGACCATTAGCACTGATGTTAATTAGCAACCTGTGGCACTTCATGCCTGCTCTACAGAGGCAGAGGTTCTGCAGCCAGAACCTGAATTTGTCTTATATCTCTCTGTAGTTGTACTTTAATACTTCACTTTAGGTAAGGAATGATGGGTCACTACAGTGCTGACTGTCCAGAAAAATGCCACAGTGGTGGGGTTGTACACAACTGTTGTTATCAAATAAATGAGGTTTTGGGGGTTTTTTTGTAGGTTTTTTTCATTTTCAGTGGAAATTGTTTGCACTGCCCAAAGTGAAATTTGAAAAGTCAGTATTTATGTGGAGTTAGCATGTGCCTCAGTTTCCTCCACTGGTCTGTGTGTGTTTGAATGTAGCTTTAAGTTCATAAACATACTTTTTGTCTGCATCTTCTCTCAATTTGAGCAGCAGAGGGACTCTGGAAGTAACTGTGTGAAACAGAAACTGAACCTGCTCTTGGTTCATTAGGAGCAACAACTGAATGTGTGGGACACAAGAGTTCTACCATACAGGACTCTTTAACTCCAAATAGTGTAACCCAAAAAGCTACTTCGGGCACTAGATGTAATGAAACCATACTAGATTGCATAGACGTGAGATGCATTTGTTGATACATGTTTGAAGTGCCCAACCAGCCCCAGCCTGAGTCTGGAAACACCTCATACTTTTCCAGTTTTCCCATCTATAACATCCTGGACATAAAGTGTGAGGAAGGCACTTAGCTACTGTGATAAAAAAAATACAGTCATTTGGGACATTTTCTGAGTAATTTTTAGACCTTTTTAATCCACATCATATGTTAGTTTCTTCATATGGTCAGTTATGGATATCAGCATGACCTGCTCTTTGTCCCTGGTTCTGGAGCCCTCTCTGACCCTGATATAGCAACTGAGCAACTGAAAGACTGAATAGGATCATAATAAATAATTACCTTTGGGTCTGATGTTGGTGGATGTAGATAATGTCAGCAGCCACAGCTTTACACAAGGCTCTTACAAACTCAGTTACAGTCAGTTAAATCTTCCACAGGTCATAGAATTCAGAGACTTTCAGGTTTCCACATCCAGTCTTGCAGGTGCAACTGCTGCTCTTCAGGTGCTCAGGACCATTTCCATCCTGCTCTTCACTGATATTTTAAGGCAGCTAAACAATTTGAGAGGTGCTACGTTTGTGTTTTTGCAGACCATTTCTTTGATCGGTGTGGACAATGCTGGTGTTAGTAAGCAAATGAGCAGAGGCCAGAGGGAAGTTTGGGAGTGTGTGTTCATTGAGGTGTTTGGAGTTTTTAAACAGAATGTAAACTACTGATTTCACAGGATTTTATTTGCCTTTTAGTTAAATTTCCACTTTCAGCATTCCTCAATGCAGAGTTTAAAACAGAGCAGCATGGAATGGGTTGGAAGGTACCTTAAAGCCACTCGTGTTCCAAACCCAGCCGTGGGCAGGGGCACCTTGCGCTGGTTCTCCCAGTTCCTGACACCCAGCACTGCCCCTGCCTGCTGCTTTTGCTCTGCAATTAGGAGAAACACCTAAATGTGTGTTTAATTAAACCCCAGTTGTCCTCTGCTCCTCTGCTCCGGGGCTGTGTGAGTGGCTTTAGAGGCACTCACCTGAGACCCTGCTGGGAGTTGTAGGGCAAGCAGGTTGTTCTACAGCTGACAGTTCATTTCTTTAATTTGGTAATTCTGTTAAAAGTCAAATTCTAACACTTGTCTCTACCTTTCCACACATAAGTGAAGTGCCCTTTCTTTAAACACATTACTTTTTTCCAGCACATTTGTTAAAAATCTCTTTTTTTAAGAGATTAAGGAGATAATTTTTTAAATAATCTTCCAGTTCAATTTACCAGTAAACATTATTTCTGTGGTGCCTGTGTTTCCTAAAGGGCTTTTCAAGTGGCTGGCTTCGTTCTCCAACTTCAGATCACCAGATAAACTTGGAATGGCATGGGAGAGAAGTGTCGACACCATGTTTGAAATACAAATGTTACATATTCCTCTTATATAAAGGGAAAAAAAATAAAAACCAGCCCGAACCCAGCCCTGCAAAGTAATGTGAGCCTGTCTTGCCATCTAGTGGCAGCTGCTCGTGCTCGTTTTACCTCAATCCATACTATTCTCAAGTCTTATTTTTAGCCTTGTTTGCCATGGTAGAGCTGACCTAATGCTTCAGGAGAGCATTATTACAGTAAGGCACATGAGCACAAAGGACTTTATTTTCTTGCCTAGCATAACTATTTGAGATACAAATATATATTTCAAGTAGTAAAGTTAGGCAGGAAAATACATATAAATGTGTATATACATATTAAAAACATTTATATTGGTTATATATGAATATATAACAAATATATATCTACCATATGTAAATAAATATAAATCTAAGTTTATTACTTAAGTGAGAATAAGCAAATCCAGCAAATTAAAAAGTAGTAACATGCATCTCCTGCATTTTGAAACAGAAATGGTGAACTACTTACACTGAAAAGAAAATGGA